CAATAAATAAAGTATTTATATAATATTCAAATGCAAACAATACCCAAATAAAGTATTTTAATTTTTTTAAAATATGCTTATTATGAATACAAGGTAGGAGTGAGCAAAATTTGACTCGACTCGAAAAATATATTTTTTTCGTCTCGACTCAACTTGAAAAAACTTGACTCGAACTGATTTCGAGTTGTAATTTCATAAACTTGACTCGAGTCGAAAAAAATTCAAGTTTAAATCGAGTTATAAAATACAAATTGAATAACTCGAAATTTTTAATAATTAATACATTGATTTTCATGTTTGATTCGAAGTTTGAGTCTAGTCTCTTAACTTTATATGGTATATGTAAATTACATATAAAAAATACAAAAAAAATATATGTGTAATGTATATGGTTATAAAATACCATTTAAATTGGAATTAAATAATATTATAAATATTTATAATTAAATTTAAATCAAAACTCAAAGATTTAACTCGAACTCACTCGACTCGAATTTTATAAATTCATCTTAAACAAATTTCAAGTAAACTTCGAGTTATAAAATAATATACTCTCCTCACAATCAACCAATCAGAATCTTCAGCTTTTGTGCATAGTGCCCTGGGGTGATATTTCCCAAATCTCTTCAGTCTTGTTCGATCTCAGATTCTGTATCTATTTTATTTATCGATTTTTTGGGGCTTTAATTTAATTTTTCTTTTTGGTGTAAAAAAAAAGAAATTATAATGATCCACTCCTTTTCTCTTTCGATTATTATGCTTTCTTGGTGAAATGGGCATGTTACAGATTCTTTTTTTGGTCGATCTTTTGTCTGGGTTTCCCCTTTTTTCCCCCTCTTTTTTTAATAGATTTATTATATAGGGGTTCTTGGGGTTAGCTTCTGGGAAGCGTGTTAGACTTGGTGTTTGATTTAGGCTTGTTTTTGTAAAATCAGTTGTTGGATTGAAAACCCTTTTTTAGGGTTTTGATTGTATGCACAGAGTTTCAATAATGTTGCTCATGGTTTGTGAGTTGCTGATTATAGGAATATGAGATATCACCTACTGCATGTTTCAAGCAGATTTTGCTTTTGCTTTACCATTTTACGGGTTCTTTTTTTCCCTGTTTTTTAATCGATGGATGCTTGTTGTGCCTGTTTGATTGTAAAGAAAAATGGGATTCGGTTTCGTTTCGTTTGCAGTATAAAATATGAATTCCTTCAATCTTCTGACGCTGACCATTCTTATGGCATGTTTTGGAATCGTAGAATTCCCACTTTTCTCGCTGTAAGTGCAAAAGTTTGTGAACTTTTGGGAATCGTCTTACTGACAGAGTTTCAAATAGCAGTAGCGATTTCGGTCATTTTGGGTTTACCGTGATTGTGGCTGTCGAGGGCTCTATTGCGGGTATAGCTGGTAACTCGACTCCGGCGAAACTGCTATTTCGTGGACGAAATTACGTTTTCGGACCGTGATTTGAAACCCTGCTTACTGAGGCTTTTCTTCTAGGATTATTGTTCTTCCCTCACCATGGTAAGTTTCGTCCATTTTTATATGTTGAATTGCTAGTTGCATGTTATTATTTGTCCTAGTCAGCTAAGAAGGTTTAGGAGTCCGATTAATATGCTGATTTAAGAAAAACCAAAATTGAAGGTTCTTTATGTGTTATGACATTTTCATTGCGTATGAACTCATTATTTGATCGTATTGTGTTTATTGCATTGTTCTATTGTGTTTTGTTAGGTAACCAATGAAAATCTTCCAACAAATGTTATAAAGCAACTGGCAAAGGAGTTGAAGAGTCTTGATGTATCGCCACCGGAAGGCATTAAAGTTGGTGTAAATGATGATGACTTTTCAATCATTTATGCCGACATTGAAGGACCAGGCGAGTAAATCTATCCAGACAAATTTACTTCCTTTGCAGCATTCTTGTTTCCATTTACTGAGAATGTTTTTGGCTTTGCAGCTGGGACTCCATATGAGAATGGAGTTTTCCGTATGAAGTTATTACTGTCTCGTGACTACCCTCATTCTCCTCCAAAAGGTATGTTTATTAGGTTATTATAGTAATCCAGACATAATTAGATTTCAACACTGCTCTGAGCTAGAAAATTTCAAAACTGGGTCATGCCATTCGGACTTCTGAAGTATAATAACACAACTTCATTGCTTGCAGTTGCGTTTAATAGGCTTGTTTTATAAATTATTATAGTAATCCAAGCAAAGTTAGATTTCGACACTGCTATGAGCTAGAAAAAATCAAAACCGGGTCATGCGAATCATCCTGTATTTTGTAGTCACCAAACTTGTGGTGATACTATATGTATTAAAATGTTATATTTTGTGCAATAGTGAATATTATGAAGTCCATGGGTACTGCAGGCTATTTCATGACAAAGATTTTTCATCCAAATACTGCGACCAATGGTGAAATTTGTGTGAACACTCTAAAAAAGGATTGGAATCCAAGTCTTGGACTTCGACATGTACTCATTGTAAGTTCCATCGAACCCATACTTGATTCTTGTATTTCTTTTATCAGTTTGTTTGATAAGAACCGCAAAGGGCTGCAAATTTCATTCGGTAATTCAGCTTTAGATATTTAGATTCATGTCTTTTATCTTCCTTGGCACTGCAGGTAGTTAGGTGTTTATTGATTGAACCATTTCCAGAATCAGCTCTAAATGAACAGGCAGGCAAGATGCTGCTTGAAAATTATGATGAGTATGCCCGGCATGCAAGGTGTGGCTTGCCTAACCCATCTAGACCTTACAAATTTATTTGTTATTGTAATATTTTGCGATGTGGGAATATAGAACCTTCAGCTGGAAGGTCACAAACTCGTTCAGTTGGAATGGCTTCACATTCTGTATATTACTTTAGTTGTTCGACTTTTTCTACAAACGGACGATCGAGCTTTCAAATATTGTTATTCTATTATACCTTGCAGATAGATAAGATATTATAGTTTAATATCATATAAAGAGCATCTATTGTTTTGTGAACCGATTGAAATAGGAAGGTCCAAAGATGGTACGAGTGATGCACAACCATGCAGGTCTCACAATCTTCTGTTCTTAACACAGGCTTTATACCGGAATCCATGTAAAACCAAAACCGAAGTTCAAATCAGGAGCTATTTGCGAGTCAACTACAGCATTGAATGTGGAGCAGCGTAACACCTAGGTTCTGAATGTTGAGCAGAAAAATGCAGCAAGTGGTGCCGGGTTATTGTTACCTACCCCGACCACTCCAACCACATCAACAAAAGGAAGCAACAATCCGGACCACCAGCATCAACAGTCTACGGTTCTGGCAACTGAAATTGGGGTTATTAGCGGAAGCGGCATAGTGGGAATATCGGGTACTGCACCTAAGAAGGAAGGTTTATATAAAGTTCCTGCAGACAAGAAGAAAATGGATGCTAGAAAGAAAAGTCTCAAGAGATTGTAAAATCGTAGTTTTTTTACGATGCTGCTTCGTACGCTTGTTTTGAGGCTGACTGGTGTAGGAATACAAAAGTTGGAGCCATGCATTGAGCTGGTGCTGTAAGTGAGAAAATTTTGGATGGTTGGTAGGGTGTAAATGAGCAGAACATTTGATGAATTGTTCGTGAACTATTAGTATAATATTCATTTATTAAGTTAAAAAACGAGTAAAAACAGAAAAAATTATGTTCATTTAATAAACGAATGAATTCGAACAGAGGTGTGTTCGGTTCGTTTATGTTAATGACAATATTGTTTATCAACTCGTTTATAAGCTTGTTTACTCTATTTTCATTTTTCTTTTGTTTTTTTTCATTTTAATATTGGTGAAGATATGAATTTACTTAGGAGTTCAAATTGTGAATTTTAAGGAACTTGAGGACTAGTGACATAATTTCACCATGTTTCTTTGATTTACATATAGTAGGATAAAATGAGAGTGTTGGTTGATAAATGTTAAACGAATATGTTGGCGAATGTTAAATGAACATGTTCGTGGACATTAAATGAATATGTTTGTGAGCAGCTGGACAAATCTCTATGGCTCTAATGCCATATTCAATGTTCAAGATTCCATTTCCACGTGGGATGTTACATATCTTAGCTGGAGCTAGGCATTGCGTTGTTGCCTGTAAGTGAGAAAATTTTGCATCATTAGAGAGAAAAGAACATGGCGGAGCTCAACCATATCAGCCATGAACATCCATTGATATTCAACAAAGACACCAGCAGTCCAAGCGACACCACTTACGACTGCGCTGGTTGCGCCGAAGTGGTGTGGGTTCGAGCTACAGCTGCAGGGAGTGCCGATTTTATCCCCACAAGAGATGTGCCGAGAAGCCCTCAGAGATTCACCACCCTGCTCACCACGACCACCCTCTTCTTCTTCTTCCACCATCAGAGGATCCGGAAACAGAAGATCATTGCAGCGTTTGCTGGTTCAAGTTCAAGGGACTTGTTTATCATTGTTCTTCTTGTGAGTTTTACCTCGACTTTAACTGCGCTCTGCTTCCGCGTGACACTGCAGGAAACTTGATTCAGACCCTCTATGCTGCCTACTCACGTCCTTTGGTTTCAAATAATCTAGGGTAAGTAATTTGGATAGAACTTAAAATTTTATTTAAATTTATAATTTTCATAATTAAGACAACGCGATAATCACCTTTCCTCAATCATAAACGACTCCTGAATCTGACAATTCTCTGGTAAGACGCAGATCCAGTAAATGAGCAAAATCAAGAAGGTCTTCGATCTACCTAATTCTAAAACGATCGGTGGCGACTCCATCACAACTCCAAGTCGAAACGCGAACCCGAGGCCACCCAAAGGACCATTGCTACAGCTTGACTACTTCGTTGGGGACTTTGAGAGTCGGGCCAAAATTAAATACCCGGTTGTCTTCTTTAGCGAAGGTTGTAAGTTTAAGTCTAAATTTATTTTCGATTCATTTTTTATTTACCTTTGATTATTTTTTTCTTTTTTCGAATAAATAGTTGTATTAATTTTTTATTAAGTGTTTTCAGACTTTTCAAAAAAAAAGTCATCTCAAGCTCTATACCTAAGCTCCAACCTTTATGTGGGGTGAAAGCGAAGTCTTCGTAAGAATTTATTCTTTGCATGAGCCTAGCAATTAGCCTTTGGGATTCATACTCTATGTCTTCGTAAGAATTTATTCTTCGCACGGGTATAGAGGAATGTATCCCTCGAGTTTAACTCGGTCCACATAAGCATGTGATGGATTTATGATCGAGGGTTTGGCAGGCCCAATGAGGCACCGAAAAATAGAACTCGGGTCCCATTTTTAAAAATCATGATCATATACGAACAAAAGCATGCAGGGTTGATATCATGCGGAGTAGAAATTATTTTTTTGCCTTAATTATTAATTCCCCATACTAATTTGTTTTCTTTTGTTTTTTCCCTTGTCGTTTTTGTCAAACTCTGAATAATCTTCATTGATAGACAACGGGGTTGTGATGCAAGAGGCTAAAGAATGCAGTGACACGATTGCGATCTAGGAGGGCCCGAAAAAAAGACTACAAGTCAGCTGCGATAGCTGGCTTCACATCAATTGAGTAGAATGACGTCCAGAAGCTGCGAAACATGTGGGACAAAAGTAAACGCGAGAGGAGGTGTTAATATCGTTATACAACCCTAACATAGTTTCAAAATACGTAAAGATTTGTTGTAGTTTCAAACCTAATGAAGATTGCGGGAGTAGATCGAGTCAAAAGGCGACGACGACGACGACGACAACTTGTGACGACACCATGCATATCGAATGTGTTTCTGGAAAGTACTCGTTTATCAGGGTCGGTAGTAGATTCATTTACGGAGGTCATCCACATCCTCTCACTTTCGTCAAGAAGATGTATTACTACCCTGAATGCAATGGTTGTGGTGAGCCATGCCAAGATCTAGCCCTCGAGTGTGAGGAGCATGGATGTAAATATATTGTTCATTGGGATTGCATAGCACCTCAGTCTCTTTCTGGTGACTGATGTATGAAGCAATTTTAGTTGTTTAAATAATACGAGAAATTATTTTATGAACTCTCATGATCACGTTTTTTTATAATTCCAATCAGTAAAATCCAATTATTTCAATTTTATATTTATATGGAAAAAAGGTGACAATTCAACCTCGAAAAATAACATAAAGAGAAAAAAAGAATAAGTGGATAATTTTCCATTGTCGGGACAAGAGTTAATTGCATCATATGTCTTTAAATTATGTCCCTCGTTTACAATTGATCCCTAAACTTTTGAATATTTCAATATCATCCTTAAACTATAGCTCTTATTCTGAATTAGTCCTTAAACTTTTGAATATTCTAATTTTATCCCTAAACTATAACCGTCTTTCTACATTGGTCCCCATCCTTTTGAATATTCCAATTTCATCCCTAAATTCATCCAAATATGGAATTAGTTTCAACCATAATTCAACCTAAATTTTGTTTTTTTTTCAAAACGTATAATAATATAACTTGGCCTGACAATTTTATTAACAATGAATGTGACTAGTATATACGTATAGTTTGCGATAAAATTGGAATGTTCAAAAAGTTTGGGGGACTAATTTAGAATGAATGTCATAGTTTGGGGATGAAATTGAAATATTGAAAAGTTTGAGGATCAGTTTAGAATGATAATCATAGTTTAGGGATGAAATAAAAACATTTAAAAGCTTAGAGACCAATTTAAAACGAGGGTCATACTTTGAACACATGTGGTGCAATTAACTCATGGGACAACGATATAATAATATTAATTCTAAAAAATTAAGATCATATAAAATGAAAATCTTCACTCTATAAATTCTAGGAATATCTATGAAGGATATTAAATTATTTCAAACTTAACATCAATAGATAAATAAGAATTATTTTCTTAATGAAATATTTAAAATTATATTTATTTTATTTTATGAGTATGAAAAAATTATGTTTATTAAATAAATGAACAAACATAAACAGATGTGTATTCATTTCGTTTATGTTCACGAACAACCTCGTTTATATGCTTGTTTACGTGATTCTCATTTTTTTCTTATTTTTTATATTTTAAATATTAGTGAAGATATGAACTAAATTAAATTTTAGGGTTCAAATTGTGAAGCTTAAGAAACTTAAGGAATAATAACATAATTTCACCATTTAGTTGGTTTTGTTTAATTTACACTTTGTTTGTTCGTTCATTTAGTTAACATATCTTAATAAAACGTTTGATGATACGATATTAAAAATTTAAATAAACATAAATTAAATATGAAATATTTAAAGATAAATAAATAAATATAAATACATTTTATTTAAACTCATTTATTTAAAAAAGTTTTGTGGTGTAACAATTTAATTTAAGAATAATTTAATACGATTTTAACTTAAAATGTTATATCGTTCAATTTAAAAAATTATATAAATTTGTAATTTTCTAGTTGTAACTGAAAGTTTACATTGCCAGAGATTTAGAACTTACAACTAAAAATATTATAAATAATATATCATTTTCGGTTGTAACAGAAAATGTTCGAAAATATTATGAATAAACAACATTTTCGATTTTAACTTAAAATGTTATTATATTCAATTAAAAAAAATGATGTTTTTGATAAATTTTTAGGGTAAATTATGCGATTAGTACCTAAACTATCAATTTTGGTATACTTTAGTATCTAAACCTTTATTTTTATCAAAATCATATCTAAACTTTAGTTTTTATTTCATTTTAGTATCCGTTCAAAATGTAACGATAAATTTTGAAAAAAATTAAAATTAAAATATTAAAATTGAACAAAATTAAAAATTTAAGTACTAAATATGTAAGTTTTAACGATAATGTACTGTTCTGAAACTAATAGTTATAACCAATTATTGTTTTTTTTTAACTTTATATATTAGCAAACTATTCACTTATTATTAGTAGACTTTATCTCTCTTTTTTATCAAATTATTTTCTTCACCAGCCGCAATCCATCTCCAAGCTCTGCTGCTTCCATCGATTTCTCACCGTCCGATCATTATTCATTTCTAGGGTTGCTTTCTCTCAGATTCTTCAATCGTCAATCTACTCACTGATTTTGTTAATTCCTATTAATACATTAGCAATTGAAGAGGAAAGGAAAGCAGCGGGGAAAATGGAATCGGAGGATGAGTTCGATATGCACGACGCCGACAACGAACCAGGAGAGGAAGACGACTTCTACAGCGGGGGTGACGATGATGCCGGGCCCATTACCGCTGCTTACGATGATTCGGATGCCGATGTTGCCGACTACGAGTTCATCGACAATGATTCGGATGATTCCGATAATCTCATCTCTCATCGACACCAGGTATTTATTCTTCTTCTTCTTTTTCGATTTTGCTTTGTTTTCTTCGGTTTTTCATTTTGCATTTTGGAAATTTTAAAGCTATTGGTGCCTTGCTGTTGTTATTGTTAATTTAGAGTATTATGTTGTCATTTGATGATAAGGGTTGGGTTTGGTTAATATGTTTGTCAAATCTGTACTATTTAGTTGTAGGAACTGGGATGAGCTGAGTGATCAGCTCAAATGGTGAATGTGGAAGTATAAAAGAACCGATAAAATCATAAAACTAGAAAGGAAAAAAAGGATAAATTATATGTTTCAAATTATATATATATATTTTTAAAAAAAAGCCTTATTTCTAAAAGTTGTTTCCTATTTTTCAAATTTTAGTTTTGACTTGTTTTCAAACTTTTGACAGTGTACCCAAAGATTTTGAATCTTTTTGGAGCATTGGTGGATTTGGTTTAATTTGTGTGGTGTCATTGCACCCTAAAAACTAGAAAGGAGACCTCAACTGTGAAAGGAATTTACCTATTATTTGCTTCTTCGATCGAAGCTTTTACTTGATATGAACTATTGGATTATGTGTAACACTAAGATTATTGAACAGTCCATAGTGAATGTCAGGAAAGACCTACCTTTTTGAATGCTGCATAGTAAACTTACAACCGTATCTAATGTCTAAAATAGAAACATGTTCTCTTTGTCAACCTTGAGTACGTAAATTTTTGTGGTTTTTGAGCCCTTGTTTTGTTAATTATTAATTTTTTTTTGAAGCAATTTATCCTAAATTGATGTCTCTTTTGTCTTAGCAAAATTATACCATTTTGAGTGAAGTAGATATTCGCCAGCATCAAGAGGATGATATCATGAGGATATCTACCGTGCTTTCCATCTCAAAGGTTGAAGCAAGCAACCTGCTACGGTACTATAGTTGGTGAGTGATCTTGATTGATTTAAATTTTTTTATTTGAAATCACTTATGTTCCTTTTCAAATTCTGCAGAGGTTTCTTTACTTATTTACAAAATCATTTTTAATGGACTTTAACTGTGTCTATGTAAATGTAGAGTGAAATTATTGTCTCTCTGTTTTGGTCAATAAGAAACTATTTTGCAATCTCTTGGCAATGGTATGTTTGTGTGGCTTGTTGTTGTAAATGATTTATGTTCATTTTGGACTTACAGGAGTGTCAGTAAAGTACATGATGAATGGTTTGCAGATGAGGAAAAGGTTCGTAGGTCTGTTGGCTTATTGGAGAAGCCTGTAGTTCCATTTCCTGATGGTAGAGAAGTGAGTTTTCACATGTTTATTTTTGAGCTAGGATTTCCTATGCTTGTTTGCTCCGTGCTCTTTGACGGTTTATACCTTTTATTTTTTTTCAAATTTCTTCTTTTGGCAGATGATTTGTGGGATATGTTTTGAAAACTATGCTTATGACAGGCGTCACGCTGCTGCATGTGGTCATCCTTTTTGTAAATCTTGCTGGACAGGTCTGCTTTGATCCAGCAATGCTTTATGTTTTTCAGCTTTAATGTTGTTTCAAGAGTTATAGGTCAGACTTTGGAAATCTTTTTTTGGTCAAAGCAATGGCTGCACATCCTCAGCTGGCTTTGAAGGAATCTGCTAATAATTTTTTCTTTCTACTATTTATCCTGATTATGATGAATAGTCCATATTTTGGAACTCTCAGCTCAATATGGTCCTTGTACATGTAAAAAATTATTT